TGGCCCACACCTTGTCAAAGCGATGGCCTTTGGTTGTGTTTTTCAATTGATGGATTTGTCATCAATTGCTTCCAGGGTGGTCTTTAGGGTGAAGTATCCTGCAGACACTCTCTCATATGAGGAATGCAGGCAAAGTTTCAACGCGGATGTTGACCGATCTCTGGCACATGCCCATATTGTTCGGCGTGCAACTGTGCCTACTTTGCAGAAAGGTGTGAAAGAGAACATTTCTGTCGTGCTGAAGTCTCTTCAACCCACACCGCAGCCAACAGCATCAGGTTCAAAACCACCAAAGAAAGCAAGGATGGATGAAAGTGCTGCTCCTGCAAAGACACAGAAGAGATGTGCACTGTGCCCCTCAAAGAGAAACAAAAACAAAACCAACATGCACCAGTTGTCATTGTCACATTTACCGGGAGCATACTGTACTATCCTGCCAGAATTGTTCTTCTGCTTCCACTTAGAGCTAAAGTTTCCACACAGATGTTCAGCTGTTACTGTTAGTGAGATAAGAACAAGTAAAATAGACAATGCTCTTTCATGTTACGCAAAAGTTAGAAATAAAGGGATCTGTTTGTTTTTCTACTGCATGTACAGAGAAGTGCCCATATTGTTAGCACAGTGTAGGCCTACATGTATTCAATCTTACTTGTTTCTGCTTTTATGGGTTGTTCTGAATTCAAAGTTTTCATTGGAGTTGAAAAAGCATGTCCTTGGCTCTCTTTATAAACACATTTTTACTATAAAAAGTATACGGGTGTGATACACCCAGTTGTCAGGGACTGTATAAAAAAAATCTAAATGGCTACCTACTACACCAAAGTGACCAAATGGTTAGTTTGAATACACAAGACAAAGCGAAATGGCATTCTTGAAGAATAGATGAAGTTTGGTCTCTTTATGATAAACGATACACGAACACTCTCAAAGTTCTGACGCGAACGGGTGGATTACACCCAGTTGTCAGGGATAGGGTTAAATTTGAAAGGACAGAAAATGCTGTGCTATTTTCCACATAGAAACCATATTTCAGCACAAAAAGATACTCACACACACTTATTTACATAATTCAACCCAATCTGTATTTCCTTTGTTCTACTAATTTACTGTGAATTTTGCTGCGTTCTTGCAGAAATGTCCCCAGTGTTTTTTTCTCTCTCCACTGTTGTCTTAATAAGATTGAGAGACCAGTTTTGTAGAATTTTTTATTCCTCTTCATGAGAACATGGGCACCCACTTAGACGCAATGAAAATAATTTGAAAGGCTTGTCAGTATCATAAAGTTTGCTCTTAACCCTTTATTTTATTTGATAAAGTAGGCCTACAATCAGATTGTCCTCTATAAGTAGCGCCAGGCCGGTCATACTTCATTCATCCAGGCTATAATCATCAGTAGTCTAGTGGTTAGGCTCTTGAACTTGCAACCATGACGTTGGTTAGAATCACGCTTAACGTCATATCCCTGGGAAAAACACTTTACAAGAATTTTCCTCACTTCACCCAGGTTGGAATGAGCACCTGGCTATAGACAGTGAAAAATCTTATCAGTTTTTTAGTGTGAGCCCTTAATCAGCGGCTTACGCTGCATGCGTCCCGCGAAGCCGAGAATGTTTCTGAGTGTTCTAGGTTCTGCTGTGGTAATAGAAATGATCCAGGATGTGCCCTATATAAATGCTATTATTATTATTATTGTTATTATTATTATTATTATTATTATTATTATTTTTCTTCTTCTTCTTATAATTATTATTGCCATTGCCCCTCCCGTTGCTCTGCAGACTCTGTCTCATGAGACGTGCCACTTACTGGGCTTGGACCACTGCCAGTTCTTCCACTGTGCCATGAATGAGAGTGGGTCAGTAAGTGAGGCCATGGAACAGCCGCTGTTCTTGTGTCCCGTCTGTCTGCGGAAGCTGCAGCAGGCCAGCCAGTTTGACCTCTTGGAGCGCTACCAGCAGCTCCGACAATTTCTCAGCGCAGTTTTTGCTCAGCATGACGATTCTGACAGACTCAGACTGTCCCTGGACTGGCTCAACTCTTGCATTCACTACATGACGTCGTTGTGATATTGATAGAATTAGTTTTAATCAATTCAACACACTACCTGATTTAGTCCTGAGAGTTGTGTGCCCTATAGTACCACAGCTGAGTATTTTCCATTTGAATTATGATGCTGGTTTATTTGTCTACTTTTCTACTTCAGTTCTGGACTTTGTTGCTTCGAAATCTATTTTGAGGTATTATTTGATTTTGTAAAATTGCTGTGGTGTCCTGGTGTTTCTTCTATCTGTGGTGACTGTTGGAGTTTACAAGTTCAAACTTTTTACAGTTTAGAGAGTATTTATTCATTCATTTTGGAATCCAAATCCTTTTGCATTGTTACCCCTCTTAGATAGAGTGTGGTTTACAAGTTCTCCTCTTAAGGGTCAGACTCTTACTGTTGTGACCCTGAATGTGCAGCATTATGCTTTGGATGATATTGATATGCGGTAATGGAGTAAATGGTGCTTGTTTTCTGTTCCTAATATTTATGGTTGTTTTTTACTACCTAAGATTAGCTCAAGTTATGAACAAGGTTGTAATGATTCTGTACTCATTTGTTCACTTTTTTAATGGTGCATATTTTTAATCTTTCTAGTTTTAATTAGTCATATTAAAATGTTGCCTTGTGTTTTGTCACTTTGTGAAGTTTCTTGAGCCTTTTCAGTCAATAAGCATTACATGAGCTGAAATGTGTTCAAATGATGGAATATTCTGTCAATGCCGGCAAGTTTACAAATAGTTTTGCATTTTTACAGAAGAGTGGGGCATGCAAAACAAATTTTTAATAAGAGTGCGACTACAGTGGAGTCTACTTATAACGAGTCCTGAAATAACGAGAAGTCTGTTATAAAGACACTATTCTAAAACCCCGGTTTTTTTCCCTTCTTTATCTTTGTAAATAAAATACTGCTATTGCGCAATCAGACAGTCACGCCAGTCAGTGATAACTGAATATTGCTGCTGCTGTGCACAGCGCACAGACCAATTAAAGTTTATTAAACGTTTAAAACCTCGCCAGTTGAGAAAGTTGTTGGTGAACCAGCGAAACAAAGAATGGGAGAGCCCACGCGAAACAACAGTGAAGGCCGGAGCGAATGAGTGGGGAGGGTGTGGCATGCTCAGACAAGCAGAACGTCTCTCGTGATAGGCCAGCTCAGTCTAGATTATCTAGGTATACCGTGCCTCTCACTTCTCTGGTGCGGGATGGAGAGGTCACAGTGCTGTGATAGATGGAGTGAATGTGTGACGTGCGCAAGCAGACGTAACGCACCTCAGGATGTGGTGGAGTGGGGGACAACACAGCCCGCGAGTTAGCCTAGAGCCAGAGCCCCTTCTTCCTGATCGCCAAAGCCGAACTGTCAACATTGCTAATGCTAGAGAAGAAAACCTGATTCGATTTTTGATCAAGTAAGACCTAGCCTAGATATCATGTTGAACAGAACACCAAACTCATAGATTAGGCCTACTTATTATTTCCTTTGAATTTATTAATGGATCCCATATAACGAGAATCCTGCTATAACGTACATTTCGCACCGGTCCCCTCCCTCTCGTTATAACAGGATTCCACTCTACTACTTCTTTGATTAGGATTCTGTTGATAGGCTGTTTTACCTGGCAACTTCCAGCAATATTGTGCCATACATTTATATGTGTGCCGTGTGCAATAGTTTTGTACTTTGTAAATACTTGATGTGTTTGCGTCGCTGCTGTCAGGAAAACCTGCTGCATGTAGGTCTCTAATCATTCATCTATAACTATTGGGCCTGGGATAAAGTGTTCAGTTGCAACAGATTTCTCTAAGGTGCTTGAAATTTCTTCTTTTAGCACTCAGATTCATGACTTTATTGCTTAGGTTATTGGTGTCTTGCTTTTTCATTGATAAAAGAAGTTGTGAAAGGTCTGATGCTTTTCTGGGATTATGACATTGAGGTTCGGCTTTGCTCACACCATCAGCCAGTGATACAATGGAGTTTGTGTAAACTGACCACAATTAATCTGAAAAGGGCAGTAAACCGAAAGAAAATAAAATCCACATTTTTTTCCTTCTATTTTAGCAGCTTCTCTAAACTGAAAACTTGGCTAAATGGAAAAATGTTTGGTGACCTGGCAGATACAGCTGTATAATATATGTACAGGACAGTGGGCTTGCTCTTACAAAACTTTAAGTATAAGCCGTAGTTTGAAAGTTTACGGACGCAACATTCTTGAGGCCTGATATGGAGGTAAAAAACAGCACATACTGTAGGCCTGTGTGTACCAAAGTAGGGACTCTTTAGCCATCTGAGACCTGATGTCAAATCTGCCATCGGCTGACAAAACGCCTTTTTTGCTTTTTTTATTCCAAGTTTTTTTATTTGCTGAATCGATAGCCTGATCAGTTACCCTTCTTGTGTGAAAAAAATTAAAGTGAAACTGGGACCAATTTTTGAATAATTTAAAGTTCAAATTTCAGATGAACGCCTATGCTTTAATGGTTACGGGGACAAAATGCTTTATTTTTTCTCAAAACAACTGTGAACAAAAAAAAAGAGGCGTTTGTCAGCCGACAGCTGAAATGGCTGACACTTGACAAATGCCATGGCCAGACCTGACACTCTAGATGATCTACATGACTGTATTGGATCTCTATACTATTTGCCACTTGGAAGGACATTATGCAATGCATTTTCTGGCTCGGAGTAAAGTTTTACTACTCTTGTTATTATGATCACTTTTGTTTTATGACTTTAACTTCATAACATGAAGTCCTCAACATGTTCACACTTCCCCAGGTACAGTCCTTTTCTATTGAGAAAAAATAAAATCATAGATAAAAGGATATATGTGATGCAGCGTGGTGAAATCTGGAGCTCATCAAAATAATGAAAGTAAAGAAACTGACATTTTTCCCTCTGGTTTGGCCATTTTAATCGAAATTTTGCTGTTTGGCTCAACAACTTTTTGTCCGTTTAAGAACCCATTTCTGTGGGAATTTTACTGAAAAATATTGATTAAAGGCTCAAAAATGTAAATTGTCAATTTCCACTGACTCTCAGGCTATTTAAATAACCAAACTTTGGCAGCCATTTTCTCGCAAATTTTCCCTATGAAACCAGGCAACCCCCTCCTCCTTCAATCGCAAATATCGTGACTTGTATTCAAGATAAATATATGGGTATTTCTTTGGCAAGACAAATGAACAAGCATTAGTGTAAGGCAATACCAATAACTCCTCTTGACCAAAAATTGACGAGCACCGGATTCCTCCCTGTCGTGATACATAATTTGTACAATTCATTTATTTTATGGTAGTCCTTATGTAAAAGTAAAAAGAAAAAATGTTCTTGTCTGGACTGAAGTTTAGTACTCTTTACTTATTGATAGAAAAATGAGAGCAAAAGCTGTTGCCAACATGTGAAGTGAGAAAAATTAATGTGAAAGTAACATTTAGCAATAGGATCTAGGAACATCTGAAACTGTTTCTTCAGAACTGTTTTCCAATCTGGAAAAGTTTGTTAGTCACCTGTACGGAAAACCTGCTTACTCTAGCGCTAACAAGTTTCATCATGACCTTGTAAGGCTAAAGTACATGGCAAAAGGTCAAAGCTTACTGTCATGCTTTGATGGATTTGACACCATGCGAGAGAAGCCCTGAAGCTGACACCCTAAGTGTAAACTATTAATAGTATTAAACTTTAAATATGGAAGCAAGCACATCAGGCTCAACCATTAATACAAATGTACCTGATCCGCAAGATCTTGGTTGGAAGAGAGATAATGGTGGAGTGCTCTCAGTGGAGTGGTGCAAAGACTTGGTCCCTCAACAATTGGTTGATATTTTGTCAGGATCAGATACAGAACAAGAGGAAGACAAAGATGAAAACCATCTCCTCTATCATATGTGATGAAGAAGATGAGATTTCAGATTCTGGAAGTGACAGCAGTGAAGATGAACTGATGACATAGAAAGCATCTAAATAAGACTTTACATGCAACATCAACTGATTTACAGTATAACATTTGGATAACTAGCACCCAAGCAACTCACTTCTGTTACATATTATGCTCTATGCAAGTCAATTTCTAGATGCTATAATCTCTTTCTCAATTATATAAATTTCTTTGTACGAGACAACTCAATATCATAGGCCTACATCATGTACACAAATAGCCAATATCCATCTGCATTGCTAAGGCTTGTCTGTAACTCTGCATTGTACTGATTTTCTGTTGAACTAAATGTTTGGCATGTGTAGCTTTTCCTTTGTTGTGTAATACCCAGCTGGGAGTATGTTACGCTAACATTGTGCAGCTGTTTTAAATTTTTAGAGAAAACGGACTTAAAACATTATTTTTTTCTCTATAAGCTATGTAAATAACTACCACAAAATGTTCAGTATAACTGTTTTTCTTTAACCCACAACGCCAACTTTAGTCTCAATTAAAAGAAAATCAAAATACCAACTAAAAAAGTGAATTTTAAAAAAAAGTTAATTTGCTCAATTTTCGACAATTCAGGGGCAATAACTCCGCAGATTGCCAACATTTTTGTGCAAACTTTTTTTTGTGCATAGTCCTGAGTGTGCTCTTTCAGAAAATCATAGTGAGCAAAAATCCCCAGGGGGGGGAAGGGGGGGTTCCAGTAGCCCATAGTCTAGGACTAGGAGCTGAGAAATCTGAAGGATATAGTTACTGATTTTGTGAATACATGTATGTATACGGTCAGGCGCAGATAACACGAACACAGAAAACTCGAAATCATGGATAGCCTGTACAGTTTGCCATTCCCCGACTGTTATCCTTTAAACTTTTTTGCTACATTTTGGTTCATCAAAATTATGGATGTGTCAAACACATTTGTCAATCCCTGCTGTGTTTTAGTTATCCGTGCCCGACTGAACATGTAAGTTTTATTTCCTGAGACTTAGGCCCGTGAATTTTATGGTGATCTGTCCTTTTGTGTCTTTGCTTGCGTATTGTATAATTTTTTATTTTTTTTTACGTGAAGAGAAGCCCAGTTTAAGAACATCATCACTAAAATCATTGTGAAATAAAGAGATGTATAGAAATGTAATGGCCTAATGTTTTGAACTGTTGCTGTTTTGATTTTATTGCTTTGAAAAAGAAAATTTCCAACTTGAAGATTTGAGTGGTACTTTTAAACAAATTTTTGTACTGCTCTCATTTTGATTTTTAAAATCTGTGTTCAATGAAGGCTTTTTGTTTTTCCTTTCTTTAGCTTCTCTGTTCTGTAGTTATTTCATCATCTATAGATCTAGTTCTTATTATCAGTTGCCTAGTTTTCAATTATTAAAGGGAAACGAGACACGCAGAGAAAGGGTTGTGCTTTTCTTTTTCTTGGGTTGTCACTTGGATGTGTCCTTGATCAACACTTGTTCACTGCAGCTCAAAAACAAGAGTGGGTGGTTGGTGGGTACTCTGGTGTGGTTTACTCCTTCTTTCCTTTCAGACATCTATCTTCTTCATCTCTCCCCCTTTTTTTGTTTGTTAGATCTACTCTCTAGTATCACCTCTAATCTTCATCACTTATATGATTATTTGTGTTGCAAGTGCCGTAAAACTCTTACTAAAACTAAAAACAGGATGCTACTCGACGGCAACGACCAACAGGATATGTTTCTTCTG